ATATATATATATAAATTTGCGCCACCATTGGGAAACAAATTTTAAAACTCCCTTTTCTCTGCCACCCCCTACCTATTCTCGTTGAATCGTATTACATAATTTTTTATTCGCGAATCGTGTTATTATTATTTATATTGTTATTTAAAGCATAATAAGAAATTATAAGAAACATTTATTTGTTCCCAAATTAAACGCAATCTTTTTTTTTCTTTTTTAATACGCTTATGAATTTTTATTTTTAGAATATGAATAAGAATTAAAAAAAAAAAAAAATAAATAAATGAAGTAGGGGATGTTGATACGGATATTCATTGGTAAGAAAAAAAGAGCCGTGGTTAGCAGGAGTGACGGCGGGGGGTAGAGGATAGGATTGAGAGGAAAATAAAGAATGGTGGGAGGAGGGGTGAGGATGGTAGGCGGCTTGTATCGCAATTACTTGCTCTAATTCCTATTCAACTTCCCTCTCGATTCATCCCGCGGGACGACCAAGGAAAATACGAGTGAATAAGACAGAGATAGAGAGAGAGAGGGAGGGAGAGAGAAGGGATGGGTCGGGGTGGGTATAGGGGAGAGGGATGGTAAAACGTTAGTCTCGTCATTAGTTTCCTCGTTAAACTCTCGACGATGCGTTCGACTTCTCTCGGTTGAAGTACTAACGATCACCGGGCTTGACGGTTATTAAGTTTCGCGAGTAAAATGAGTTGTACCTTGTTGAAAAGAAAAAAAAATAAAAGAAAAAAATTAAAGAAAAGATTAGAAAGAATTTCCGCGAATTGCTGTCTTTTCTTGGAATTTTTTTCTTTTTTTCCTCCCTTTTTTTCTCTTTCCACGTAACTCGAATCGATTGTACGACAAAATGAAAAATAATAAAAAATAAAAATAATGTCGTTATCGTTGTTACTAATATTTTTCTCGATATTGATATTTTTATTTTTTTCTTCGTTATAAACTTACATTTGTTAGGAATTTATATACGGACGTTTAAAAAAACAAAAATAAAAAAAAAGTAGGACGAGAGTTATAAGTCATCGATGGGGGAAGAAGGGGGCAAACGATAATAGCTGTTTCGGTTGAAATTTATTTATTTTCTCCAACAAAATTCAACAAGACTGCTACACTAGTTTGGTTTGAAATTTTCTGTTATAAACCCTTTTTTCTAGTTATTTTATCGTTGGAAAAAATTCGAAAGAAAGTAAACGTGACCAACACAAATTGATTCTTTTGAATTTTTTTACCCTTCTCTTATATTTTTTTAATTAGTTTAAATTAATTTTACTCGTTCGACCTCGTAACCAATTTTTTTGATCTTCTCATAAATATTATTTTTTATTTTCAGTGAATATATTTGATCTTCTTTCTCTTTTACACATATACACACAGACACACCGTACTACGTGCAATTTCCGTCAGCTGTTTTACCTCAATACCCCCGGCTGTTAGATTATTCGCGAATGTACTTGACGAGTAATTTTCACGCGTTTATAAGCTCTCGCAAATAGGATCGTCCGGTATGTTTCGTTATCCTAATTTCTTGGCCTAACGGGTAATCGAGAATTTACTCATTGATTTTTTTTGTCACGGTCAATCATTCGATGCAAGAAAACCTTTACGAGATTTTACAGTTAGCAACCAGCGATAAGAACAAAAATCATATTTTCCTTCATTGATTATTTTTGATCTTATTCGATACTGTTTAATTGTGATTATAGTTTTGATGTATAATTTTTAATCGTAATGAATCTTAAAAAAGAGAGATTTTTATTTTCTTTCTTTTCGAAATATATAATTTCGTGTTAGATCAAAAAAAAAAAAAAATAAAAAATAAAAAAAAGTTAAATCAAAATTCATGCGGTAAATAATAATAAATAAATTATGTTTTTATTTTGATCGAACTATATTTGGTTATAAAAATGTGAATACTGATTTATAAATCAATTCCAATATATAAATATTTCTATAACATATTGAATCATTTTATATTAGATCAACAAAAATGTCATTTTTGTTTTAACAAAAAAAAATTTGTAATTTAAAAGTAGTACAATTTATAACAAATTTTTTCCTTTCGTCTTTAATTTAAATAATAATTATAATATATAATACAATTTATATTTAGATTAAATATATCAAACCCCTTTTGAAAATACAAATTATAAAAGTTAATTAAAGTAGCGATAAGAAAGGGAAAAAGCTACGTAGAAAAATATCTAACTCGAAAGAAAAAAAAGAAAAAGAAAATAAAGTTACATGACTTTGTGCAAAGTTAACATGGATTTCATTAAAAGAAAAAAAGAAAAACAGTTGTAAAGGAGGTGAGGAAGGGGGAGGATGAAAAAAGAGAGAGACAGAGAGTAAAGAAAGGAAGAAAGAAAAGAAAAGAAAAGAAGAGTAAGCAGATAAAGTTTCGATACTCGAAATCAATAATCGAACGGGGTGTGTTTGTAAGAGGGGTGAAGTGGTTAGGGGGGGGGGAGATGATATCCTATATCTTAAGAAGGAAGCTTGAAATTATTGAGTGAGTTTGAAAAAATAGAAAAAGAAAAAGGGGGGGAAAAGGTATAGTAGTGATTGGGTTGAGAATAAACACAGAGTGTTTGGAAGGGTATAACTGTAAAACTCGTGAGAAGAATGAAGAATAAGAGAAATAGAAAAAGAAAGAAAGAAAGAAAGAAGGAAAGAAAGAAAGAGAAAAGAAGTGGTGGTAGTGGTGGTGGTGATCAGGGGGGGGGGGAAAGAAGGGGATAAGAAAGTTCGTCGAGAGTTATAAAATAATTTCGCGTTGGAAACTCTCACGTCTATTTAGCTTGAAGAAAAGGAACCCGGTGTACCGGTCAAAGGTAATTCGTGGTTTATACCCAGAGGTAACTTGAGTAAGAAAGAAAGAAAGAAAGAAAGAAATAAAGGAGAATAACTTTTTCGTTCGTTACTTCAGCTTCAGTCTGTACTTTTAACAGGAACTCGAGTTATCCGGAGTATCGATTTCTTCCTTTCTACGTAATACTTACTATCCTTTAATCGTGTAGTTAACGTATCTTCAATTTTCTATTGATATATATAAAAGAATCACAAAAAAAAAAAAGAAACACGAACAGATCTATATATTATATATATACCCTTTTTTTTTCATAAAATATTGAAGTTCGCAGGTGTTTCTTATTTTTAATATTAGTAATTACAATAATAATAATAATTTTCTGGATAAATAAAAATTGTCAGGTATGAAAATAAAATAATACATGTTATTTTGTTATATTATATATATATATATAGTAATCTTATAATTTTCGGATCGATTTAATGAAAGAAATTAATTATGATTTATATCGCATCGTTTTATTTTCTTCAAGTTGGTTAAAATTGCATTTTAGTATATATATATAGAAGTAATAATAATGCAGAACGCGTAGGTTAATACGTAAGTAAAAATATTACTCATGGCATAAATTCGTCGTCGTCCTTTATCGTTTTCGTCATTGTAGTTGTCATTGTAGTTGTAGTTGTAGTTATAGTTATAGTTATAGTTGTAGTTGTATTAGTTGTCGTTGGTGTTATACGTCACGCGAATCGTGCATTAAAATTAACGTTTTAGATTTATACAACGAACTACGACAACGCGATAGAGAAACCACCAACGATTTAAAATGTTCAAACTGTTCAATCTTCGTCGAATCGTGCAGAAAAAGTAAAAAGTGAAAGAAAGGGAAGAAAAAGAAAAAGAAAAAAGAAAGAAAGAAAGAAAGTGAGTGAGCGAGTGAGTGAGTGAGTGAGTGAGTGAGTGAGTGAGTGAGTGAGTGAGTGAGTGAGTGAGTGAGTGAGTGAGTGAGTTAGAGAGAGTAAATGTAAGTGTAAGAAAAAGAGAAAGAGAAAGAGAGAGAGATAGGTTATGTGTAAGCTTTATACTTTGTAGCGTGTGCATTAAACTACACCGAATAATTAAGTTCAGCCACGAAAGGGATTTCCTAGACGGTTAGACGATACACCAGCAGCACTTTACTAGCGTGTCGCGGAAGAATTATTATACGTGGGAGGAGAGTGTGTTATACGAAGTACGAAAGCTCGTTTACCGAGTGATAGAAAAGCTTCCAGTAACAAATAACTTCCATTTTTTTCTTTACTCACTTCACCCACTCTCCCTCTCTCTTTTTCTCTCTCTAACTTTACTTACCCTCTCTTTCTTTTGTTTATCTTTTACTTTATTTTTCATTTCATCAAATATAAATGTTCGTAGATGTTTCTTATTTTTATTATTAATAGTTACAATAATAATAACAATAATAATAATAATAATGATGATGATGATGATGATGATAATTTAATAGATAAATATAAATTCTTAGGTATAGAAATAAGTAATTAATATACTATTATATATAATAATATTAACAGTAATATAACTAATATATAGTAATAATAAATAGAAAAGCAATTAAATAAAAAAAAAAAAGACATTTTTATGTTTCAATATTAAAATTTTATAATTGCATAAAAAGTGAGAGGGAGAGAGAGAGAGAGAGAGAGAGAAAGACAGACAGACAGAGACAGAGAGAGAGAGAGAGAGAGAGAGAGAGAGAGAGAGAAAGTAAAAGGGTAAACGATCTCTAACAATCCGGTGTTTGTCAATGCCCACGAGCCTTTCATGGTAATCCCTTTAGGATGAAATTCGAGGGTCGCTCGAATTAGCTTGATACATCATAGTTGGACGTTTTCGGCGACGTGACGAAGCCTGTGAAAGGATTGAAGCCTGGTAAAAAAAAAAAAAAACAGGAGACACGTACCTACCTACCTACGCCTTCTTTTATCGTCGTCATTGTCGTCGACTACGAGTGGTAGTTTTTCTCGTAAATCGACCAACTCTCTTTCTCTTTCTCTCTCTCTCTCGTACGGTTTCTTCACGAAAATCTCACTTCTCAAAGATTGTACACCCTATGATAAAAAAATTATTATTCATAAATGTCTCTTTAATAATCAAAATTAGTCATTTCATTAATTAATAATTAATGCTCATAGTGCGACAAAGATTTTTCGGAGCTTTTTTTTTGGAATAAATAAACGAAACGACGATTCAAACTTCATCGATATCGTTATAAAACTATATATTTGTTTTTTTCTAAATAAAAGATATATCGTTAACCAACATTCATTATAAGTCCACAATTTTTATGATCCATGCTAATGATACTAAATAAATAATTTTACGATAGAACGATCATAAATGTGTTGTATAACAATTAAATTTCAATTTTACGTCTTTATATCTATACTATAATATATGCCAAAACAACTTCGTTAAATAATTTTTTATTCTAGTAGGAATAATCGAAGTATCTATAGAAATGTGAACGAGTCTTATAATATTTGATTAAAAAATACACATCCGCACACAAATTATAGTCTATTATAAATTATAAATTATTATAAATTGTAGACTATAAATTACAAACACTATACAAAAAAAAATTGACACTCGTCAATAATTCTTGTGTGTGTATGTGTATATATTTTTTACAGTAATAAAAAAAATAAATAATAAAATATTCAAATGAAGATCATGCATAGAAATTATGATAACGTAGGAAAAGGGGAAAGGTATAGGAGAAGTGGAAAAGGTTTGTCGGTAGGTGTTATAAGTAACAGCCCTTCCCTTCCCATCCCTTTCCTTCATTTTCTCTTTCTCTTCTCCTCATAACATCCAAACTCGAGAGTTGGAAAGTTTCGAATCTCTAGGGTGGTCTGAATGGTTGGAGCGCACCTTCTCTCGTGCTTGTCGCTCAAAGCTTATGAAATTATTCTAATGCGATACATCGTGCCTGGAGACACAGCAATGGATGGATACAGTGGAAAGAGAAGGGCTCGAAGGTAGCAGTCTTCTTGTGACTCGGCTTCCTTGTCTATCTGTCTGTCTGTCTGTCAGTCGGTCTGTCTGTCTGTCGAAGCTGTCTGGCGTATTATGCACAACCGATCTTGGAAAAGGAATTACTTGCATTGGTAGATTTTTTAATATTTATATATATATCATAAAAAATGTAATATATAAACAAAACAAGACAAAATCCATCCACACCATTCACTTCGATTTAAATTCACGAACAAGATTTTAATCATTTATTTATTTACTTTGTTTTGTAACAAACGAAACTCATCATATAACATTACATAAAATAAAATTATTTATTTTTTATTACGTAATAAAGTGATCCTGCAATATATATAATAAAAATATTGCAGAATAATCGAGGTCGTTGTCGGTAAAAGGGTGGTATAAAGGACCGCGGTTATTATTAACGTACATAATCGTCTTATCGGATGTCCTTTTAAATATCGATTTTTCGTCGTCTTGCAATCTATCGAAGAAAAAGAAAAATGAGGAAGTATAGATAGATATAGATATAAAGAAGGGGGTGAACGGGGTACGGGGGTTAGGGGTTGAGGGTTGAAAGTCGATGATGGAAATACGCAAAAAGGAAATAACACGAGGAGGTAAATTAATCGCGACACGGAGATAGAGAAGTGGCAAGGGTTGCTAATCCCCCCGTAACCCTTTACCCCACTCTCTTCCCCCTCTCTCTCTCAATCTGCTTTTCAATGGGATCGAATGGAAGTGATCGTAGGCCATAATTAAGAGGGGGGAAGCATTGACGTAATGTACAGAGTCACGTTGCCTCATTGTTGCTAGCTACTTGCAATTAGCTGTGCGAACAGCCAATTTGCCCTTCGGCATAATAATTTCATATCTGGCTCGTTGAATTTTGCCGAAAGTAATAGTAGTAGTATTAGTATTAGGATGGTAACAACTTCTCATCGGTGTATAAGCAATAGCGAATTTTGTCAATCCGATTGTGTACGTATACACGATATAACGTTCATACACACATATGTATACGGTTATATATACAAATTTTAAATATTAACATCACTTCACTATTCTTGATAAGTATTACTAACACATACATATATGTTTCATATATACGAGTTTTAAATATAATTATCAGTATTACTAAATCAGTACTACTAAAAAAAAAAGATAATATGCACGTTAAATTTTATTTCTAAAAAAAAAATAACAAAAAAAAAACTTTTAGAAAATATATAGAGATATAACACACACATCATATATATCTAATAAGATTATTATCTTTTGGTTATATCGATCTATGAGAATATCAGACAGATTTTCCTTCTACTTTTGGTGAAGTCTCGATTTATAGAGCTGGCGGGATCATAGCTGCTTTCACTTGGCAAAACGAAGGGGGTGGTGGAGGAGGGAAAGGATCCGTAGGGAAGGAAGATTCGTGACTAGTAGGACGATTCTCATTTGGATTGCGTCGTGATCGAATTGACATTCAATCTCGATCTCGAATCGCATAGGGCTCGTGATGGTTCTTGTACGTCTATTTCTATCTCTCTATCTCTCCATCTATCACTTACACATACTTACACATACACACACACACACACACACACACACACACACACACACACCTTCGTTTTCACTCATTTTACCTATCTCATTTTCGTGTACGCTTATTGTGTTTCTTCCGTTCTACGTTCAATCGTTGCTTATCTGTTCGAGAAAGTTCTCTGATGTGTAGAAGTTAAATTTAATTCGTTGATGAATTACTCTCTCTCTCTCTCTCTTTCTTTTTTTTATTTTTATTTTTTTCTCATTTTTTCATACGAATATTCGTTACCCTAGATTCACGATAGTAAATTATTGTTATTATTATTATTATTGTAACAATATACCTGATGAAAAATTTGTCATTCAAATGTATAAAATCAAAATAAGGTTTGATTTTGATTATTTGAACGTTGCTCGTCTTTCGAATTTTCAATTCGTGCACGGCGACAGACAATTTCGAGAAATAACTTTTGCTATTATCATTCTTTCTGTCTCTCTCTTTTTCTATCTCTTTCTATCTCTTCCTATTACTCTCTCTCTTTACTTTTCTATCTTTTCTATAAACTCTTTTTCTATTTTTTATTCTAGACGAACTTTTTTTTTTTTAAAGCTTTCATTCGAAGTTAACCTTTAGTTATTCTTGTTCGTATAAAATTCGTACGAAAAAGTTCAATTCTCACTTAAAGATCGAAATATATATATATTTATTTATTTATTTATAGAATATATATCTATATATATATATATATATATATATATAGAGAGAGAGAGAGAGAGAGAGAGAGATAGAGAGAGAAAGATGGTTAACATCGTTTTAAACATTTTTCTAAATTCACCCACCAAAACTTCAAAATCGAATAAAATTATATCGAATATATCTAACAATCCCTTATCATTTCTATCGAACATTTTTTATATACCGATAAATACAGTAACAATAATAATTTTTTTTCGAATGATATTCCTTCTGTATAAAATAAAAATATAACAAATCCATGAATCCATCGTTAAACAATTTAAAATTTAAACAATTCTTATAACCAAAACCATACTATGATTATCTCATCTATTTCTTCTCTCTTTCTCTCTTTTGTCTTAAAAAATTCGGTCGAGAAAAGAAAATGAAAAAAAAAAAAAAAAGAAAAAACCAAAAAAAGTAACTAAAAACAGATTTTGGATTATCTACGTTTCTCCTTTCCTAAAACCTCTCCCCCTTTCTCTTTTTCTTTCTCTTTCTGTCGAGATTGAGAAGAAGCAGAGATGGAAATAGTAGGATGGGGTTAATCAGTGCAATCATGAGATTAGCGTGGAAGGGTGGATACGAGGACAGCCAGCCACGTTGGTTCGTGTCGACGAAGAGGAAGGGGCAGGGCAAGGCAAGGCAAGGCAAGGCAGAGAAGGGTAGGGTGAGAGGAGAGAAGAGTAAAGGAGAGGAGTAGAGAGGAGTGAAGAGGAAGAGAGTTTCGACTGGAAGAGAAGGGGGTGGGGAGAGAAGGTACGTGAACTGGCTTGGTGAGAAGATAGATAGAGTAGGTGAGTTGGTGTAAGTGGGTGAGTGAGTGAGTGAGTGAGTGAGTAAGAGAGATAGATAGATGCAGATCAGAGATTTGGTGGGAGGAGGGAGTTGAGGTGGAAGGGGGGAGGTGGTTGTCTGTATATCGATTCGATCTCCCTCGACTCTGAGAAGCTCCCTTTGATGTATAATCACTCTAGTTTCGCATACCGGAATATCAGAGAGCTACCGAGGAACGTTTAGTAGTACTATCTTCTCCATAATTATTTTCTTCTTGTTTTTCTTCCTATTTTTTCTTTTTTTCTTCTTTTAAGAACCAAAAACAAATATGAATTAACAACAGTATCAGCATCAGATTTTTTCTTAATTCGACTTGGATGGACGATAGGCGGGGGAAAAGGTTTTGTGAAAAAATCTGACAATGAGTTACCGGTATTTAAGCGTAAGGTGTTAAGCAGAGACACGTAATGGTTTCTATATAAAAAAGGGGGTGGAAAGGTGGGTACTTTTGAGAGGTTAAGAACAAGAAAGGAGAACTTAAATAGAGCCGATATATTGTGCTTTTAACAACGTCGTATAATACTCGCTTCTCTTATCCTTAATAGTTTCTTTCTTTTCTACTTTTTTTTTCAAGCGAGATAATTATCGTAGTCCAAAAATTGTCATACATATAATATATATATATATATATATATATATATATATGTATATTTCTTTTCAATTCAAATATTCGCGCATGAGAAAAAAGGGAAAAGGTATTATAAATAGAATAATAGAATAGAAAAAAGAAAAAAAAAAGGAATTGTAAATAAATTAGTCGAATAGATCGAATACCACACGTGAGGGAAGGGGGTTCTTTCTATCGTTGTAAATAGTATGAATAAGTCTAAAGGTAATTTATCCTATGAGAAAAACCTTGGATCACGTATCCATTGTATTATTAATGAATCTTACGAAGAAGAAACGAGAAAAGAGAAAGAAATAATGATCGATATCGGTATCGATGTAGAG